GTACTCCACAAAAACATCTCTTCTTTTTCCCTCTTTGTTTTGGGACATTTATTTGTGAAAAGGAAGTGACAGAGAGACAATAAATATAGTTGTTTTAAAACATTTATTATATTCTACCCTTGCCTCTTTCTACTTTCTTCCTCACTGCGCCCTTTGGTTTTTGTCAATCTATGCTGAGGACATACCCGTGGCGCCACTGCCCTTTTCGTCACCAAATATGCGTTGTCGGAAGTCAGAAACCATGCGAGGAAGGCCGTCCCGGAGGGAGACAACCGGCTCCCACCCGAGAAGTTCTTTGGCCTTTGAAATGTCTGGCTTTCTCTTGTGGGGGTCATCCTCTGTGTTCGGCCTGAACTCTATCTTTGCATTTGAATCAATGGTCTCTTGTACCACCTGCACCAACCAGTCCAACATGATTCATAAACACTGTGCCTCTTTTTTTTATTTGTTCATCAAATAATAGATGGGGAAATGGATATAGGATTCATACATGCATTGTACTACAAATTGATTCAATGCAATACAAAAAATATGGGCAACATCCATGTAGAAAATACCAATCGAATTTCATCAAATATATAATATAATAGTAATGCTATACCCCCCAAGAAAATGTAAAGAAAATCAATACAAAAAAAGGTAAATGTTGATTTTATCACTTCAGCAGAAAAGAGTCATCAAAATGGCTTGAATTTTAAGAAAATGTCACTCGTTGTTCCATCACTCTGGTCATGAATTCTTTATCTGTAAAAAAATCTGGAAAAATCGATTTTTCCATAATAGAATGGTGGTGATGATTGCTTCAACAACATCAATTCATTATGAATATTTGATGATAATGTAATGATGCTTCATTAAGTTCCTAAAAATGCATGGTGACCACAACATGGTTCAGATTGCATTATTTTCTGTTGATTTAAATTTCATATCTGTTCTTCCAACAATATATGAATAAATTTGTGAAATTGATGAGAATGTGAATATATAATTCAAGAACCAATTTACCTGGGCAAGTTCAAGCATGGTGAATTCACCAGGGTTGCCAAGATTGAAAGGACCAACATGTTCCCCTTCCATCAATCGCATCAAGCCCTTCACCTATTCATCAGGTACAGACACGACACGACACAACATCTCTAATTAATTTTAGTAATAAAACGAAGAGTATACTAGTACAGGATATTCAAAAGTTTACCCCACAATCCCAACACCTCTAATTAATTTTAGTGACAAAATAATATGAGAGGACAAGATATTTAGAAGGTTACCCCACAACCCAACCACCACCCAGTCCTTAGGAATTAGTCGATTGGGAAATTAAGCCATGATAAAAGCCTCAAAAGATATAGGACACAAGTTCAAATCTCATGAAATGCTCAACTCTAAGGCTTGTGTTCAATAATTACTAGTATGTGTGAGACGTAAAAACTACATATATCTAAGTGATTAATCACGACAAAGTCTCAGATACCCTCGTTACCAATAACAAAACAAAAAAGTGACCACCATCCTTCCCGTACATCTTACACTTTTCAGCTTAATTTAAGCTATTTTGAGGTTTAGCTTATAGCTTATAGCTTATAGCTTTGTGGAAGTCAGAAAACAGCTTATTCTTTAAGTGGGGCAGGAGATGCTTTAAGAATAAGCTGGAAATCAGCTTAAGCTGAAAGTTATAAGCTATAAGCTGTTTAGCCATAAGCTATAAGCACTTTCCCACAGCTCTACCAAACAGGGCCAAAGGGCCACCACCGAAGAATAAAAAAAAAACACATCGATCTGCTTCGTCATGCTACCGAAAAAAGTGCAAACCTTTTTCACACAACCTTGAAAATGACAAAGGAAGGTTTTGAGAAGCTCAAGGCCGAGTTACTGGAGGCAAGAAAGACGACGAAAGAGGCGTAATTGGTGGCGTCTAAGGCCTTTGAAGAGGGGAAAAAATGGCAATAGAAAAATATGCCAACGAGGCCCTAAAGTTTGAGAACCGAAGCTTCAAGCACTACTGGCTCAAAGTACTTGCAGCTGCACAAGTGACGCTTAATGTGCCGATTCTGTTCGAGTAGGAAGACGTTGAGCCGTTGGAATTGGACCCAGAATAATTCTGAGGCCGACTAGCTAGATTTAGTGTGCTTGCTTTCAATACGGCCTGTATTGTTTTGTTTGTTTGTTTTTTATTGCTTTTTGTTTTTGTTAGACTATATGCTAGGGCTATTTTTATGTGTAAAGTGACCAACTCATGTAACAAGTCAGTTTATAAATGAAAACATTCCATTGTGTGCCAAAATTTCCTTTTATGAATGAGTGTGATTGAATTGTACTTATCATACCAGTCTGAGTTGATGTTTACACAATCGACATAATGCACTTATTGATGCAACTGTATTATGTTAATTCGATACCTTTATGTTGTTTCACAAATGAGGTAGACTTAAATGCCAAATAGATTTGTATATCTGCCTTTGCCCCGATTAGGAAACCAAGGGTGAAAATAGGGGCTGGGGTGAAAATAGGGGCCGACTTAACCGTGCCCTAGATAAGTCATAATCAACGAAGAATCTGAATCTGAAGGCCAAGTAAAAGATGAGTGATTGTGCTGTCGTTTCTCAAATAGGGTATATTAGATGCTAGATAGATTCATATATCTGCCCCCTTCCTCGATTGGGAAGAGATGCGTTGTGCGCAGCCAAATAAATATCACCAAGTTACAGGTGGGGCCATATATACGTTGAGTAGATTCATATATTTGCCATTGTCCTTGTTGGAATGAAGGCATGGTATGCCAAAAATGAGCCAACTATATAGGATACGATCAACGGCGTGTACTGTGATTAATGATAGGACAGCGGACACGTGAAATCATTTTGGTGGCATTGAAAGCGGTGCCTTTGTGATTAATTTAAAGTTATATGCACGGTCAACCTATAATTAGTTTGATTTTTTCAAGTAGATCGTCACTGCAACGATACTTTGGTTTTTCCAAAGATCCATTGCACCTTGAATCCCATCGCCGGCGAAGTGCATAATGCATGGGAAACTCACCTCCGGCAAAGCTCAAAAAACTGTTTATGTCGAGAAGACTGCTATTCAACAGCAGAAGAAAGGAGAATAGTTTAGTAGAACTGGATATAGAAATGAATCAACAAGTGCCCAGCGATTCTGTTCACAAAAATACTGTGGAATCATAGGAGCAGAACATGCATCAATTGCCCGAGCAATAAGAGACGGACAGGAGAGAAGAGACCTCTTAAAAATGAGATTCAGAAGAAATGAGGCAGTAGAACTGCCAGTGTCCAGGCCCTAATTTGAAACGAGCCTAGTAGACCGCCACATTCGTTGAGTTTCTTGGTTTTTATTAGGAATAAACCTATGACCAAAGTCGATTCGATTGTCCATAACCTGAATGTGGCAGTTGAATTTACACAGCATATCTTCCCTCCTGAAGTGCACCAATCAATGACCAATTGGGGCGACTATGAGATTTTTCTGAGAAGGAGTTCATGGGCTATCAGAGGACTCTATAGTTCATATGAAGTTGGCATGTGCCTATGTGCGGCCCAGAAGTATATTAATCACAAAGATATGCGGATTCGAAACTTGGAATGTCGATTTGAGGAAGCCAATGTGAGGGTGGAGAACGAGGCTCCGAAAGCCAGAGTAGCTGAGCTCAAGGCGGCGGGAGCAGTAAAGTCAGCAACATCGAAAGACAAAGTAACACAACGCCTTATGGATCGGGCGATAGCCGATTGAGATACTGTCATCATTTTTGTAAGAGAAGCCATAGAGAGCTGAGCCTACAACAAAGGCTTCTTCGAAGGAAGAAAGATTGGTATAAACAACACGAAGGAGAAGTTAGCCGATGACGTTTGCCGATGTGAAAGTCGTGACTTCAAGCACGGATGAACAAAGGCACTTTAAGCGGTGGGTGTTGATTCTACTTTGTCGTTATACCAAAACTATGTAATGCCATTCGAAGTCTATGACGCCGAGAAAATGGACGATGAGGAGGAGGCCACGAACCTTGAGAAATGTTAAATAATGGCAGAAACTCCTGTTTGATTCTTGCATTCAACTTCTGTGACTAGGATACCGATTGGTCTTAGGATAAATTTATTCGGAATGTAATTTGAATTTGTCATGATGTTTTATTAATAAAAATTTAGTTACGCTTGTTTGAAATAGTCAGACTAATTATGTCTTTAAATTGCATACTTGTAATTAAAAATGGCACTTTTTAGACTGTTCCAAATTCGGAGGCTTTTATTGATTATCTAAATTGAAGCAAATCAATCAATGTAGAGCAAACAAATAATATGGGTAACATCTTGTATCATTGATTGTACATATGCAAAGTAATATACATTTGAGATTAAAAAAGAAAAGAATCGACACTAATAATAAAATTTACAAAAATGGGTTAAATTCCAAGGCCGGGGTAACCTTTTGTCGTTCATGTCTACAAAGTGATATGCCCCTGCCTCGGCGATGGAATCAATCTGATAAGGGCCGTCCCAATTGGGGCTGAACTTTCCATCGGCAGGATTTTTGCTGGCAGGTAGTACTTTCTTTAGGACCAACTCACCAGGGGTGTATCGACGAAGTTACACCCATTAGTTGTAGGACTTCGCCAACTACTGCTGGTATTGTGTCATCTTTACAAGGGCCTAATCATGAAATTCCTCAATTAAATCCATATTAAGGGCAAACATCATGTCATTTCGTCCAAGATCGAACGCCCTTGATCAAAGAGTCGGCAATCTGATTTCTAGTAGTACGATTGCCTTATTGTTGAGGCATAAGGTGAACGGTGTTTCCCCGGTGGATCGTCTCAGCGTAGTTCGATGCGCCCACAATACACTTGGCACTTCATCAACCCATTTGCCCTTTGCTTTCTTGATCTATTTCTTAATATTGTCTAGGACCACTTTATTAGAAGCCTCCGCCTGTCCGTTGCTCTATGGATAAGCTGGAGAGGAAAAGTAGGGCTGAATTCTATACATGTCGCACAACTCCCAATAAAGGCCATAATCGAACTGAGTGCTATTATCCGAGATGAGTGCTCTTGGAATGCTGAATCGAGTTATAAAGTTTTTCCAGATAAAACACTTTATATCGGTATCCTAGATATGCGCCAATGGTTGTGTCTTAACCCACCTAGTGAAGTAATCTGTGGCAATGAGAAGAAATCGTTTATTACCTAGGGCTCTTGACAGAGGTCCCTCGATATCTAGCCCCTACTAAGCAAAAGACCAAGGGCTAGTCAAGGAGTTCAGTTTTTTGACTGGCAGATGTATTAATGGTGAGAATTTTTGGCACCGCTCATACTTTTTGACATAGTTTTCAGCATCAGTGCACATAGTCGGCCACCAGTATCCTCGAGTGACGGCCCAGTGAGCGAGTGATCGCCCCCTGGATGAGCACCACAACTTCCCTCATGTATTTCAGCCAAGAAGTCCTCAATCTTATCAAGATGGACATACTCTAAGTAAGGTACTGGCAGAGATTTTTTGTATAGCTTTCCCTCGGGGGCCAAATAATACCTCATGGCCTTATTTTGAAACTTATGGGCTTCTTTCTTATCCTCTAGTAATTGCTTTGAATTCAGGAACGCAGCGATGGGGTCCATCCGACTCGGTCCCCTATGAATGATATACATAGCAGGATCAACTTCGAGGATACTAATACCTGACTTAGGGATGAAACCCATTTCAATGGTTCATTAGTTTAAAGTATGAATTGATGGCCGAGGCTAAACAGGCTATGGCATTAGCGTGAGTGTTTTGATCGCGAGCGATTTGATTAAGCTCATGTCTATCAAATTTGTCAAGCAAAGACATAGTTATCCTCACATAGGCTGCCATGCGATCGTTCTTAGTGGCGTATTTCCCCTTTAGCTGGTTAATCACTAATTTTGAGTCACAAAAGACATGCAACCGTTTGGCTCCCAGCGAGCTATATAGGCCGACAAGAAGGGCTTCATACTTGGTCTCGTTGTTGGATACGCCAAAGCCATGTTTGATAGATTGTTCAACCACTGCCCCCTCGGGAGTCATGATAATTACTCCTACCCCACTACCTTATTGGTTGGACGATCCATCACAAAATAGTTGCTAGATGTCCCTTACATACAT